TAACCCTTAAATATTTTATTCATTTCAGCAGGATGTATTTAGTATTATATGATCACATAATAAGTACCTATTCATATTATTTTTTTTTTATATAATGAAAACAGTACAATTTTAATAATTATATAATTTTTATGTTGCCCCCTCTTTTAGAAATCCCACTGTAAGCTACCCTAGTACCGTCTAAGAAAATATTTAACACAGTACCAGCTATATAAACCACAAAACGCAATCATGTCTGCCCTGTCTGAATTTAATAGTTTTGTTTTATTATAAATTATATAAAAACTGATCGAATTTGTGTAGAGAGGTTTGAAGAGGTCCAATATTAATGATATTATTTCGATAGTGGAGATACGTTTTATGTGAAATATAAAATACGATATGACAGGATCGAACAAAATAGTAACTCTAACTCCCGAAGGATATGAATAACGAAAAAAAAACCAATCTCTTACTTCGTCAGCATGGGTGTGCGCACGGGGGGTGAACTAGTGGGCCATGGTGTACCACACTTGTAATAGATTGCAACCTAGATCATTTATATAGAAGTATTATCTTATTCTGTGATCTATAAGCATTGTAATTTTTATTTTTTTGTTATCATGGAACATTAATAATGACTACCTCCTAATTTAATATCTATAAAAATGAAATTGTTAAATTATTAATGAATGATATTACTTGTAACGGTGGAACTGATATATCTATTGTACCTATATTTATACGTTATTTTAGGATATTCTCGGTTATAATATTTAACCCTACTATAGTACTATAGGTTAGCATAGTTTTTTTGGGTGAATGACTGTATTTATGCCTTATATTATATAGTTAGCGATGTAACGCATAAATTTAAGTAGGTACAAATCAATGAAATAAAAAAATTTTGAAGTACATTGCCCATTAGGTTTGGCCTACCCTGCCACAACGGGCTGCGCACGCCTAGCCTATGCTCGTCAGTCGTCAGTCTTTCTCGAAATGCATTGGCCAAAAAAAAATTTAAAAATACAATCAATTGAGAACGACATTTTTAGTAAAGAAAATTGAAAATGCTCGATTTTATTTTTCTTCCAACGTTACCAAATTTAATAATTGTTATCGAACGATAATTTGAGCACGATAAATAATTAATTAGTATTTTATTAATTTTGTTGATATTTATAGGACTCTTATCGGATTCATCGGATATTATTAACTTAGATACCTGCAGATAATCATGCGTATTAAAATTTTAATTGAAACTCAATCAGGAACGATATTAAAAGAACTACAGGGTAAAAAAAGAAATGGCAATAAAATAAAAGACAATATACTTTCATAATAAATATATTATGTGGTATGTGGAAAATAAAATTCTAATAATTTATTAAAATATTTATAGTATGTTAGCTTACGCTATCCTGCTAACCATATATTATATACATACTAATAGGTATATAGGTAACTCATTAGTCATTATTACTTATTGGATACTAATAAATTTTCATAAATTGTTGTATATACATATTACTTATTTGATATTTTATACATATTTTTAAAGTTTATAATTATTAAGTATAACCATGGATATTGTTTCAAATGTATGTCAAACTATTGTAAATATACAAATAAACATAACTATATGATAGACATATTAATTATTATGTATTATGTAAGTATATAAATATACTATGTTAGTTAAAACAAAATCAAATATAATTCTTTATAATATATTTATTTTTTATTTAAATAATAATGTAGTAGTTTTGTTTAACTGTAGTAATGATACGATGCACGAGGCACACTATAGAACAGGGGTCTCCACTAGTCGATTGTGATTGCCGGGTCGATCTTTAGAGGAACATTGGTCGATCGTATTAAAGATTAATAATTGTCCTAATATATTTGTTGATCATGTACGTAATCTTAAACACACTTTAATGCATCGTATACAAAGTATAAAGTATATTAGTAGCACTGTAGCAGGGCCGCATTTAAGTTGGGAGGGCACTGGCTACAACTGCCCCGTGCGCCAGTATTTTGGAGATGCCAACATTTTGTGGTTGGAAATTTGTTTCCTTGTGGAGGGTTATAGTGAAATTATTAAACAATATTTTTTTAAAAAAATCACACATTATTGTAAAACAAATATTCTTTTCTTTGTCCAACATCTAAAACGTTCATGAGGATCTATCTCCCATATTTCCCGTGGTTAGGCCCCTTACGGGGGTGCCAAATTTTTTTTTTCACCAGTGCGCAAAATGTCTAAAGCGGCACTGATTTTCGGTGAAAAACGTACTTTTTCCGATGTAGAAATAATAAAAGAAGAGTATTGTTATGTATACCTACAATTTGTTATTATAATGCATGTAATAATATAAATAATATACCTACCTAAATAAATAGTGGTCATTCACTAGATACTTAAAAAATTTAATTTAGCTCTGCGCTTGTAAAAAGTTAGCGACCACTGCTCTAGAGTAGGTGTAGAGTCTCACTCTCGATCCTCGAAAACTTCATCCAAATTAAACACAATTTATATAGTAATATATTTATCATGATAGATATATGAATAATGAATATCCTTTCATGTATAAATGTGTGTGGCTATGCGTGTGTGTAGGTGTGTAGGTGTGTGTGTGTGCGTGTGTGTGGTATGAGGGTGCGTCAATCATTATACTGCTGCAAATATTGGTCAATATTGTCATATATAAATATATTATAATATGTAAACTACAATAACACGCCCCATAAACGATTCACCCTTCCCCATGTATACACATAAACATATAAATTTTATGTGTACAAAGCATACATACGTTTCTATTTAATTGAAACTTTATCAAGTTCAAGAGACAAATATGTATGAGGTACCTATACAACAGTATGTTTACAATTACAACAATACGACTAGGTCCAACATTTGCAGGTCACCAATCAATTAGTTCATAAGTCATAGGCACTGTTTCTAGATCAAAAAATCTCCATTCTCCAGGACAAAAAATCCACGAACAAAATATCTAAATTTACAAAAAAAAAAAAGATAGAATACCAGCTACAACCTACAGTAGTACAGTGACGTCTTATTATATCCCTAAATATGATATCTTAATATATTTCTATCGATGTTGGCACTTGGAAACCTATGAAAGAGTATACGGTCATATGGGGGATATGCGCAGTACAACTACATGTATAAATGTATAATACATTAATCATTACTGTATAGGTTTGTATGTCAGTGTGGACTGTGGATAATTGGGTAAATCATATTAAAAGATCGTCACCCTCGTCCACATGAGTGATTGACTCGTTGTCGTCGTTGACAGATTAACAATGAAAAGAGATCAATTTCCCTAAGTATTTGCATGAAATCCAGAGGTCAAAAACAGAAAACGGAAAATAAGGTAATAGTATAATACCTATACTAATGCTACTATTGATATTTTTCAATTACCTATCCGAGTTTTAACTGCATGGATAACAACCAATTAATGTACAAATAAATTATCAATTAACGATTTATAAGATATAAATAATCAATCATATTCAACCACAACTTCTGTGGAAAACCTATGTTTTCTATAATTCAACCATGGCAAATCAAATTACAATTACAGTTATTTGTATTTTTCTACCAATTTACTGTTTTAAAATTTTGTAATATAATATTGCTTGTTCATTGTTCAACTTCTTCAACAAAGTACCTATCTAAGTGGCTAAGTAACAGCTAGTGAACATAACTATAATCTAATTCTACCTATATTTAGTATATTTACTGACTACCCCGGTGGTGGATCTAGAATTTTTTTTTTTTTTTCATTGACTTTTAAAACGGCCGAATGTATTAACTTAAATGCTACGCTAAAGGGGGTGGCATGTACCCTCCCCCTCCACCACCTTAAGCCGCCACCGCTGGCTGCTAATATTTGCTATAATCATTGTTCTGTGTTCTAAATTATAATAGGTAGATATAATAATATGATTAACATGACTATATTTTACAATTTGGATAATAATAATAGTACTTATATTAATTATTAATAAAGTTATGTATAATATCATATTGAGGGCTACACCAGCATGCGTTCTCTCTGTCTTACAAACGCATAACATAAACAATTGTACGCTCAGAAGATCACGTTTAGCTCTGTTCATTTAAAAATTTGAGTGAATTGACATAATATTCATCTAATAAAATTGAATGATAACTGGTAAGATTATTATCTAGTGAACATCATAGGTTTTTTTTTGTTTTAATTTTGAAGGAAGTTATGAGTATTTTATTTAAAATGCACAAACAATTTACAATTTTAAAATACTCATAACTTGCTTTAAAAATTAAAATATAAAAAAAACCTATGAGATTCACCAGATAATATTCGTACTTCTAAATTGTATAAGAGGTCAATTCACTTTAATTTTTAAACTAACAAAACTTAGTGTGAATGTGTGATCTGCCCTCTTAAGTATCACAGATGAAAAATATAATAAAAATAAATATTAAATATTTCCATTCAATCTGTGACATGTGTAGGTATTAAGAGTTTTTATCACGAATGAGTTATTATCTTAATTCGTGGTTTTTATAAAATTAACTTTGGAGGAGAAAACACCAGAAGCTATCGTTTACTCCATGACAATCACAAAGTAAATTTTATGATAAAGTAAACAACAATAACAATAATATTAACAATATTATAATAATAATTATAAAATTATTTATTTATTAGTACAAAATACTTATCGGCTGACGCCTATCACGAATTAAAATAATTAAGTATTATTAAGATCATATTATTTCATGTTTCCTATGTGAAAATTGTGTAATACGACTCAGATATCTGAATATAAAGCTTTCAATATCCAAGTATTCAATTAAAGTCGATGTACAACAGTAAATAATGATACATAAGTAATTTATTTTAAAATTGAATTTGTTTTTTTATCATTACACAAGTTAACTTTATTATTCCCGTTTTGGAGATCGGGTGAGTATAGCGTTTTTTTCTGGCTAGCAGATGGTCTCCAACTCGTTTACCAAAGCGGAAATCGAAAAATGTCTGTGTATACAAGGCAATCCAACGAAATGGAAAGGGCTGTTGGTAGGATCGTTAAGGAAGATCGCCGATGTGGTGCACCCTTTGTTAACAGTCAGCGACGAAGCATTAGATTGTGTCGAAATGCTAGTTATTCAATGCCTGGAGATACTCACGTTAAGGTCATCACCACCGCATACTGTATTCGACATCGAAGACCAAGTAAAACGATGGTTTCCTAAGCCAATAGACAAGTGGGCTATTAAAGATGCAAATGAGGCAATAGAAAAAAACAAGAAAAAAAACTTTTTATTATTACCAACCGATAAAATTCATAATTTAGTGCAAAAGGAAATACTCCAATACAAGTTAGACTATCCAGTGGCTCTTTACATAACAGCTGTTTTAGAATACATGGCAGCGGACATTTTAAAATTAGCTGGTAACTATGTAAATAATATTCATCGTGTAGAAATCAGCTACCAAGACCTGTGTGTTGCGATATGTGGAGATAAAGTATTGATGGACTTGTATGGCCAGCACGACAATAACGGTGACTTGAACCTGTCTGAATTAGGTATTGATAAAATTCCAAAAACTACTACTTATGAAGAAGTCATAAGAGATCTAATGCACGATGAAAGGCAACTTATTAGAGATTTACATTTAATTTTAAAAATTTTCAAAGAAGAAATTGATCGTATCATTCCTGTAGGTAGCAGTCAAGAATTGGATAATATGTTCAACAATATTACAGACATATGTAAGACTACTGCATTATTTTTAAGTTCTATTGAAGACATATTGGAAATTGCAGAGGACAAATCAGCTACAGTTGGTTGTTGTATTGAAGAGTTGGCTGAAGCCGCTGAATTTGATGTGTTTGCACGCTATGCAAATGATATTGTCAAAAAACAATGTAGAGATATATTTTGGAATTTAATCGGTAAGCCAGAAGTTTCAAATTTACTTCAATCGGCTGGCTATGGTTTTAAAGAAGCTGTAAAATATTATTTTCCAAAATTGTTACTTTTACCCCTGTGGCATTGTATTCTCTATTTTGAATATTTTAGAATTTTACATCAACTTTCTCCTTCCCAGCATGATAAAGAGTGTTTGGAACAAGTAGAAGGCATTTTGAGACCTTTACAACTACAAATGACGGCAGCTGCAAATCAAGTTAACTTGCCAGATAATGTCAAAGAATTTGGGCTTAAAATTAATGCAACACCAAGGCGATTGTTGGCCATTGAAAAACTGAATGAAATGCAAAAAGCTATTGATGGTTGGGATGGTAAAGATATGGGTCAATGTTGCACAGACTTCATTAGAGAAGGAGTACTTGTAAAATTATCGGGTGGAGGTAAACGTTGTTCAGAGCGTAAGGCAATCTTATTTGATGGTGTTCTTCTCTTATGCAAATCAAATAGCAGAAGAACTTCGGTATCAGTCAGCTCTCAACTTGTTGGGGGTTTGTCTGAATTCAAATTAAAAGAAAAATTATTTATTAGAAAAGTGGAAATTGTTGATAGAGATGATACAGACGAGACAAAACACTTTTTCGAAATAGTCCCTCGCTTACAGCCACCAGTAATATTAGTTGCCAGTTCTTTTCAAGATAAAGCTAATTGGATGGCTGATTTAATTATGCTGAACACAAAAAGTATGCTAGATAGAACTTTAAACAGTATACTACTTGATGAAGATAAAAAATTTCCTTTACGGTTACCTTCAATTGAAGAATACAGATTTGTTGAACCTGATTCTCGGGCTAACATTATTTTTGAGGAAAAAGAAAATAATGGTGTTCCTCTTATTAAAGGTGCCATTTTGCTGAAACTTATAGAACGATTGACATATCATATTTATGCTGATCCAAAATTTGTAAAAACATTCTTAACGACATATCGTAGTTTTTGTTCACCTCATGAGTTAATGGATCTCCTAATCGAAAGGTACAACATTCCTGAGCCTTTTGGTATAACTATGGATTCAGTAAGTCTTCGAGATGAAACTAAACGATTTAAAAAAGAATATTTAGTACCTGTTCAATTTAGAGTTTTAAATGTGATTCGGCATTGGGTCGACTATCACTATTATGATTATCAATGCGATCCATATCTATTGGATAAATTGCATTCATTTATAGAATCAATAAATGGAAAATCAATGAGAAAATGGGCGGATTCAGTTATTAAAATAATTCAAAGAAAAACATCTGAAGCTCAAAAAGAAATAACGTTTGCATTTGATTCACCACCGCCAGCAATTGAAGTTCATATGGATTTTAATGGAAATGACGATTTTAACATTCTACTTGTACATCCTATTGAATTTGCAAGACAGTTGACTCTTATTGAATCTGAAAATTATAGAGCAGTTAAACCTTCAGAGTTGGTTGGATCTGTATGGACTAAAAAAGACAAAGAAATAAATTCTCCAAATTTACTTCGGTTAATCAAGCGTACTACAAATTTTAGTCGTTGGATTGAAAAAGCAGTTGTTGAGTGTGAAAACATTGAAGAGAGAGTAGCAGTTGTATCAAGATTTATTGAAGTAATGATGGCATTAGATGAGCTAAATAATTTCAATGGTGTTTTAGGTGTTCTTTCAGCCATGAGTTCAGCTGCAGTATTTCGTCTAAAATTTACAATGCAATCTGTCAATGCTAGACTTGATAGAGCTCTAGAAGAAGCTCGAGAATTGAGTAATAATCATTTTAGAAAATATCAAGATAAATTAAGAAGTATAAATCCTCCATGTGTCCCATTCATTGGTATGTATTTAACAAATATATTGCATATTGAAGAAGGTAATCCAGATTGTTTGACAAACAACCCAAATTTAATTAATTTTAATAAACGGAGAAAAGTGGCAGAAATTATTGGAGAAATCCAGCAATATCAAAATCAACCTTACTGTTTAAATGTCGAGCCTAAAATAAAAAAGTTTTTGGAGAACTTAAATCCGTTTAATGATATGAAAGATACAGATATTAGTAACTATTTGTACGCAAAATCTTTAGAAATCGAACCAAGAAATGTCAAACAATTTCCAAAGTATCCACGAAAATGGCCAGACTTAAATCTTAAGTCACCCGGCTTAAAGTCTAAAATACGAGTGCCATCAGTATCCTCCAAAGATATGGATGTCCAAGGTAGAAGAAATTTAAGTTCATCAAGTTCTCTAGTTATTCAAATGGATAAAAGAGATGCAGATGATTCTGTCTTTGCGCCAGTAACATTTACTTTAGGAAAAAATAATGATGTTCCTCCAGTTCCACCTCGACTGAGTAAAATTGATGGATCGTTCAGACCACCTATACCACCAAGAAGAATGGCTCCACCTTTACCTCCAAGAAGATTACCAGTTGAAGAAGTTTTAACTTTTCAGAAATTTGTTGTAGACTTACCCAAACCAGAAATGAATCAAGATTTAAATTGGAACAAAAAACTTGTACCGCCAATTAGTCCTAGTAAAAAGCCTATGGAACTAAAACCAAAAGCAGTTGTTAATCTACCCAAACGTGATAATACTTTTGAACGTCTGAGCGGACCACCATTCTTTAAGCCAGAAGTTGTACAAAACTCTAGGTTTCCATTAAAACTGTTTGTACTAAAAAGAACAACTCCTTCTATGTTCCAATTCAATGTTTGAATACCTAATATTATTTTTTATAAGCATTATAAATAAATAAATCAAGAACCAGTAAGTTACTAAATAATTGCCATATTCTTAGTTAACTTAAGTAATGACTATAGTATATCCCATAAATGTGTAATATGTATTACCAAAATCTAGATAAAATAATATAGGAAAGTGCTTGAATTTGATTTCTATAGCCTGTATACATTTTTCTCTTTTGTATCATTTTTAAATTTGTAATTCCATAACACCAACATTTGGTCCAATATTAAATAGTGTTAGATTAAAATTATTATTGAAAACAAATTGCATATTGACTGTGATAACCTGTGTATACTTTGACGTTGGATATTTTTTTATTCTTACAAAGTTACAAATCATACAGATTTACAAATTGTGTAGTAGATACCTTTTGATTAATATTGTAATATTGTGAAAATATATAGCTTAAATATTGACATTTCAATATATTTTAATGTTATTATTTTAATTATCGTAATAATATTATGTAACTATGTAAGCACATTAAACAATATTTTTACAGTGTTAGGATATTTTGGAGGTATGTTTATTAGACTTAAATACATATATAACATTTAACATTGATATATTCATATTAATTTTTAATTTCAGATTATATATTTTAATATAAAATATCATTTTTTATTTCTTAAACAATTAATACTTGTAATACAATATAATGTAGGACTCAACGATAATAATAATATGTATGTTGATACAAATCTACAGTATAGTGAACATGTGTTTATAATATATTACAATATTCAAATAGTGTGTCATATGTGACACATAGGTATACAGAATATGATACTTTTGGTGCTTTGAAAAAACAAAATGTTTAAATTATATACAGATTTAATTAGGTGCCTAGCTTAATTACCTATTTAAGTTGTAGTCCAACTATTTTTCATATTATTATTTCCTATATTTGTTGTAGGTTATATAGATTTATAAAATTATTATCCACAATATAATATCATTATTTTTAAGAATTTAATTTTATAAAAAATATTAATGATTTGTGCTTAGTCTTAGTAATTTAGCTTTAATACTTTTTGTAGTTAATTGATAAACACCATGATATGTTCAACTTTGTTAGATGGAGTATAGAGCTATTATATTTTTTATTGAATAAATCAAACTAAATTGTTATAATATATTGAATGAATGTGTATATTTATTTTTTTTATTTCATCTGATAATATGTTTCAGTAATACAAATTATAGGCGCTTTTAATTTTTTTAGTCTATATTACAACAGTAATAGGCTAATAGGCAATAGGTAGTAAATTAAAAATATTTAATAGTTATATAAAAATGTTTATTATACTATTTAAAACGATGCCTACCTACCCCAGCGATCTACTTTTACAGTTGTCCTAAGTTAAACACTATGTTTTAATTAGGTATTTAATAATTCCAATCAAATGGGAGGCTTGGTAAAACAACTGAATAGCTATTTTCTGTATTTTATTTATTACATATTTTATCGCTATTTACTAGTTAGCATCTACAAATACCTATTGTAGTACCTATGCTCTGTTGGAGTGACATACATCATATCATTGTAATTGTAGAAGACCATGGGTACAAATAGGTAGGTATTCAAAAAGCTAGACTGTCTGTATAGTGTATAATGTACACTGTTGAAATTCATCAGTATTTTAGTATGTTGACTACATGCCATAATCAATAACAGTAAGAATATTTTTAAATTGCTCAATTAGATTTGAAATAGACTTATTCTCCTGTTATACACAGAAAATTTTTGTAAAATGTCCAAGCCTTATTTATATTGTTTGTGGTGCCATAGTCTAATACAAAAAAAACATTAAAAAACAAATAATTATGTTAATAATGCTGAATAAAATGTCATCTATATTATCATATTTTTTGTGTTTAAATAAATATATCTTTATGTTCTAAGCTAAATCAATAAAATTGTAATAATCCTTATTATAATACATGTAAATAGTAAACAATAAGATATAAGATGAATAGCTTGCATAGATGCTTTTGAAAAGTTGTTTCCGGAGTCTGTACATGTAAAATGGATAAAACAAACACTCCCGGTTTATATGATTGTTTTTAATATCACCAATGGCATTGAAACTTTTTTAAGTGCTTTCACAAATATAGCAAGACTAACTGGTTGAATGATCATTGAATTCCAAACAATAATACATTTTAAAGTATTTTATATTAAAATATGATCATTTAATTATTACACATATATGAAATATTACTAGTCCCTCATTCATATAAATCTATGCTAAAATATTCAATTATAACAGAGACAAGGTTATATAATCCAATGATATTTAGGTCAGCATTAGTGATTAATTTAATTTCCAGTAGCATTAACTTCTTCCAATATGATCTAATATACTGTTTTTCAGAGGGAAAAAAAATATGTGGGCGATATATTTAAAGGTTTTGCATAACACTTATCCATCAATGTAGGTACATATGCAAACAGAATAAACAGTATACTAATAAAAAAAATAAACAAATTATTGGAATATAATTATTATAAAGTTTTAATTGTAATACTCTATGGTAATGATGTACCTACTCTCAAATAACTTTACTATGAAGATGATGTCATGATGACAAAAAAAGTATTAATATTTGAATTACCTATGTCAAAAAATTTGTATTATATTGAAAATTTTATTTATATATTATAAAAATTAAATTTATTAATCAATATATTGTAATTTATGAATTATAAACAATTGTAATTTAATTATTAATAAACAAAACAACAATAAATAATTCATAAGTTTATAAAACTAGGTAACTCCTTACATTTTTTATCAACTATAATTTAAAAGTATTTGAATTCTACCTACTGCTCTGTTCCCAGATAAAAAGGTGAAGAAAAATACTCAATTAGTAATATGTGTTATACTAAACTCTAAATAGGAATACATTTTGTACTCCCCTAGTTATTGTACTTAAAATAGTAAAATAAAATGAAGTTCTGCCAAATATTGATATGTTTTAATCATATTAAAATAAACGGGTCACTCAGTTCACAAATCAATAAATAATTGTAGTAGTCAACATTTAAATAAAACAAGTCTATATTATGGAAAATGTATGAAATAATTTATAATTTTATGAACAAAAATATTATATCAAATGAAGTAACCATAAAAAGTACAATTAAAAAAAAAAGTTTAAATAGTGATAGACTATAAACAAAACAATAATACTAAAATAAACAATAGTCTTGAAATGGTTACATACATAATGGTCAATAAATAAAAACTAATGTAAAACATTTAAAACAGAACAATTAAATTAAATTAACACAAAATCAAAAAAACTCAACCATAATAGATTTTAAATATAATTAACACACAACAATAAAAATCAAAGTCTTTTGGTTACGTAAAATAGTATAAGAATAAAATAGTTTACCAATTATAAAATTATGATGGTAATAAATATTATTCAAGTGTTTAAAGCACCGAATTATTAAGTTAACCATAATAAATTGTGAATACTAACAGTTTAATACAACAAGCATCTGTATAAAAATATTAAAAATTAAGATCGTAAACAATTAAATAAATTATAAATAAAAAAAAAAACAATTAAATTAAAATAATTCTGGTAGGCATCAGTCACAAACAATAATGATAATATTAAAAAATGCATTATGCATATGTAATATGAAGTTCCAATTGAATAATAATGAAAACATTAGTTAAAGTTTCTAGGAATTCTATGGACTCTACATCTCAAAGTTTCAGCAAACATTGATGTTTGGTCAATTTGCTGTTTCATGAATGTTTGATTACCGAGTATTAATAAGGTGCATTCCAAGTACTTATTGATAGACATTCCAAGTAGACTCTGGGCAGCTAAAGAACGAATCTTACCAAGTTTCTCAAGCAGTTGATTTAGCAGTTTCTCCATGACAAGGACTATGTCTTGTTGTAGTTGGTCGCCAACCACACAATTCTTGTTCGGGATGGGATAATGCAATATGTCTCGCATGTACGACATGAATTCACACAGTTCATTAGGAGTAACTTCCAAATCCAAAGCCTGTAATCAAAAGTAATTTACATTTATTAGTTTTGTTTACCCAAAAGTCATAAAGGTATGTATTCAAAATATTACCAATAATAAGTTGTTCAACTTTTGTGAACGATCCCTTAACGTCTTTGTTGACAAGCATATCTTTTTTTGAGCACCTCTTGTAATTGAGTTTTTGTTAACTTTAGCTATGAAATCATCAATATTGTCCTCATCAATGAATTCAATTTCCAGATAACTGAGGCTGTTGAAGAACCAGTGGTATTTGTGTAGTTTCAAGTAGTGAAGCCACTTAGCAACTGCTCCATCCATTTCTTGATCGAGAATCGTAAGATTGTCAAGTGACTGTGGGTCTTCCAAGGTACTGGCCATCTTGGTCTTTGCAATCATTTCTAGATGGTTGTAGCCCAAACATTCCACTGAAAAAACAAATTGTACATCTTATATAAGTATTCTTATGTGATTGGTCAATGATTAATTCTTACTTCTAAAATGTGGTAGACCAGGAGCAGAATTTAAATTTGTCGGTTGCAGAATGTTTGGCCAAACAGGGGTATTTGGCTGTTGAGTTGGCCGAATATTAAATGGTTGAAAATGATCTACGTGTGGTGGTCTAAAATAATTTGGCCAAAAGTTTCCTGTCAACGTTTCAGTCGGTATGTGGCGCTCACGACTGTTGTTCAGTTGATTTACTTGGTGAATTAGATGTTTCAAATTCCTGAAATTTTATAAAACGGTTTTATTAGTTGAAAAATGTATTAAACTTAAATAAAAATAAATCAAGGTTTAAACTCACTCGTGAATGATGGTCAAATTTGGTGATTTCTCAATCAAATTGCATATTTTCACTACTATCTCAATGTTGGTACCATTTTCAATTGTTTGGTTTAGCATATGCCTTAAATTGTACATATACCCCTCTTTGGCCATTATGTTGT